CCTCAAACAAACCCTCTTTCCGCAGAATTGCCTCTGCATACTGAACCCAGTCGCTGTAATTTTTCTTGTTGAGCTTAGGAATCCTACAAGCATCCTGAAGGGCCATCATGACTCTGGCATTAGCCTTCAGCGTCATATCTATGCTGCTTTAAATCTTGCTGCGTCACTGCTGCAGCTGCCTTATCACAAAGGCACACTTAAAAGTTACTTTCGATTTCCCCAGCATAGTGACTTGTGCCTGGGAGCCTTTTGCCTATTTGCAAAACCGGCTTTAAAAGTTCAAAGTCCAGCCATAAAGCCATTATCTTGAAGCTGGCAGGCTGCCCGGAGCAGTAGCACATACCTCATCAATCACTTCTACGCGCAGAGCAGATTCCTTTCCGATCCGTTCCTCTGCATTCCGATCCTCTTGCCGGCACTGCGATTCGACCTCTGGAGTCCATAACCACGTGTTGAATTAAAGCAGAGTCTTTGTGCCCAGCGGAAGGATGAGGAAAATGTGTTACATACTCCATATAGCTTTATTTACAGTTCAAAGCTGGTATATTACAGAAAGACATCTTGCCTCTGCAGGAGCAGAGAAATGCATCCTCTCTCCTCAACAGCTTGGAGAGAATCACACAGTGAAAAAAACAGGAAACCAGTGTACGTCACATCCAGTCTCCCTTTCCCGTGAGAAACTCCAACAGTACCTCTGACTGTGGAATGCAAAACAATGTCTTGTGACTGCAGTTGCTGCTCAGTGAGGGAAATCAGAAACCAACACTTAGTTCCTCTCCTCTGTGATTGAAGCCCATCCTTGTTTTACTTAGACCACACTGCTAGGACCATGAAGGCACAAGTTAATTCTGTGTCCAGGACAGCTGTCTACCAGCTCCACCTGGTACGCAGGCTAAGACCTTACCTGCCTGCGGACTGTCTTGCCAGAGTGGTGCATGCTCTAGTTATCTCCTGCTTGGACTACTGCAATGCACTCTACGTGGGGCTACCTTTGAAGGTGACCCAGAAACTGCAATTAATGCAGAATGCGGCAGCTAGACTGGGAGTGGCCGCCGGGACCACATAACACCAGTCCTGAGAGATCTGCATTGGCTCCCAGTACATTTCTGAGCACAATTCAAAGCGTTGGTGCTGACCTTTAAAGCCCTAAACGGCCTCGGTCCTGTATACCTGAAGGAGCGTCTCCACCCCCATTGTTCAGCCCGGACACTGAGGTCCAGCGCCGAGGGCCTTCTGGCGGTTCCCTCATTGCGAGAAGTGAGGTTACAGGGAACCAGACAGAGGGCCTTCTCAGTAGTGGCACCCACCCTGTGGAACGCCCTCCCTTCAGATGTGAAGGAAATAAGTAGCTATCTTATCTTTAAAAGACATCTGAAGGCAGCCCTGTTATGGAATTTTTAAATATTTAATGCTGTATTGTTTTTAACACTCGATTGGAAGCTGCCCAGAGTGGCTGGGGAAACTCAGCCAGATGGGCGGGGTATAAATAATAAATTATTATTATTATTATTGTTATTATTATTATTATTATTATTATTATTTTATGTGTATCCTTCCCATCTGATGTCAGGCTTCAAGGAATTGGCTTCCTCCCCCGTGGCAGTAAATAAGAAGATCAAACAAAAGGAACATCTTACCAGTTAGATTCTTTAATAATTAAAGCGAGAGATAAAAAAACATGTCTCCCTAGAATGGCGATGCTCCCAATTAAGGCTCACTCCCCCTTCCTCCTTATTAATCTACATCACTCCTACGTCTTGTAATCTGAGTTTGTACACTATGCGCTTTCTGTGCTTTCTGTTCTAAGACTTTCTGAGCTCTTCTTGACCTTGGGCTGAGCGGAGGAATGCTGTCCAGAGACTGTGAACCTGTTAACCCTCCTTCTCCCAGTGTTTCTTCTTCTAGCTGTTTCCCATCCAGTATTTCCCAGCTTCTGCCTTCTGAACTATGCCCCTCTACAAACCACTGTTCCAAATCTACACTGTCTTCCTGTTCCTGGGAATATTCAGGATCAGGGGGAGGGGGTGGCTCCCACCATTCTTCCTCAGTGCAGCCCTCCTCAGCATGGTTCCTGACATCTGACTGGGTTGCCTCAGCCACTCTGGGTAGCTTCCAGCATATGCAAAAACATAATAAAACCTCAAACATTAAAAATACCCCTATACAGGTCTGCCTTCAGATGTCTTCTAAAGGTTCTAAAATTCTAAAATTATTTAATTACAGTGGTACCCTGGGTTACAGATGCTTCAGGTTACAAATGCTTCAGGTTACAGATTCCGCTAACCCAGAAATAGTAGCTCGGGTTAAGAACTTTGCTTCAGGATGAGAACAGAAATTGTGCGGCGGCAGCAGGAGGCCCCATTAGCTAAAGTGGTACCTCCAGGTTAAGAACAGTTTCAGGTTAAGAACAGACCTCCAGAACAAATTTAGTTCTTAACCCAAGGTACCACTGTAAAGAGATTGGGATGGAAATGTTTCTTCGGGTATACAGGGCCAAGGCCTTTTAGGGCTTTAAAGGCCAGCACCAGCACTTTGAATTGTGCTCAGAAACTTACTGGGAACCAATGTAGGCATTTCAGGTCCAGTGTTATATGGTCCCAGTGACCGCTCCCAGTCACCAGTCTAGATGCTGCATTCTGCATTAGTTGTAGCTTCCGAGTCACCCTCAAAAGTAGCCCCACATAGAGTGCATTGCAGTAGTCAAAATGGGAGATAGCCAGAGCATGTACCACTCTGGCTAGACAGTGCATAGGCAGGTAGGGTCTTAGCCTGCGTACCAGATGGAGCTGGTAGACAGCCGCCCTGGATACAGAATTAACCTGCTGATCCATGGACAGCTGTGAGTCCAAAATGACTCCCAGGCTGCACACCTGGTCCTTTAGGGGCACAGCCTGGTGGAACACTCTGTCTCATGAGACCAGGGCCCTGCAGGATCTGATTTCTTTCCGCAGGGCCTGTAAGACAGAGTTGTTCCGCCTGGCCTTTGGCTTGGAGCCAATTTGATTCCCTCCCTCCCTCTCTTTCTTTTTTCTTTTCCTTTCTCCTCCTGCAATGAGGCTACATTTTAATATTTTAATTTTTCAATATTTTAATGTTGTATTTTAATTTTGTTTTTAAGTTGTAATCATTCAACTTGTTTTTATTATTGCTTGTTAGCCGCCCTGAGCCCAGCCTTGGCTGGGGAGGGCAAGGTATAAATAATAATAATAATAATAATAATAATAATAATAATAATAATAGTAATAATAATAATAATAATAATAATAATTCAGGACCAGGGAGTCCTTCCCCACCCACATCCTATCCCCCATAAACAGTAATTCTGTCTTGCGTGTCGAGGTCCCCAAGCCACCCCCCAAATAACTCACAACGCACACTTAATTTTTGTTTAAGGTTTTTGGCATAATTTTGGCCACAACTTTATTTAAATACAAAACCGTGAGTGGTTGTTTAGGCATTGGTTAAGACTATCTGTCCCCCGCCTGGGGACAGAACTGACTTCCGGGCACCACCGAAAGACAGTGCGGGGAAAGCAAGTCGGAGAGAAATGGAGCTGGGTCACAGACCCTCAATTCTCATCCGCATGCTCCCCGAAGGCTTGCCGGCCCTAGTCCCATTCCAGGGATTGGACGAAAAGATGGCAAGCCCCAGGATTCCTTTAACGGAATTCCCTTTCCGCAGCAACCATGGAGGGGCAGGCCCAGCCTATCCTAACCCCTCCTCCACCAATTTATAACCAATGCCTAACCACAACCTTACAAGTTGTGACGATTTGCTACGCAGTAGGCAAAAACCAAATGGCCCAGCCAATCAGCCAGATGGACAAAATTCCTACCAGGCCCCTGCCCCAACGGCAGACGACCCCATGACAGGCATAGCAAGGTCAATGCAACAACCCCTTACTCAAGGGCGGGTGGGCGGGTGATCCGTTGCACGCAGCAAAGAGAAAGCTCCAGGCTGCGTGCAGAGTATTTAAACATTTTACCCCTCCCACCAAAATTGCAACATAACTTTTACCCCAGCAACCCAGTGAACCAATCACTGCCCCAGGCCATCTTTAGAGACCCTGCCTGGTAACAGAGGGGTGGCTCAGCAGACCCCACCGCAACACGTGCTCTCCATGAAGGAGAACACGCTTTGCGTGTCGAGGTCCCCAAGCCACCCCCCAAATAACTCACAACGCACACTTAATTTTTGTTTAAGGTTTTTGGCATAATTTTGGCCACAACTTTATTTAAATACAAAACCGTGAGTGGTTGTTTAGGCATTGGTTAAGACTATCTGTCCCCCGCCTGGGGACAGAACTGACTTCCGGGCACCACCGAAAGACAGTGCGGGGAAAGCAAGTCGGAGAGAAATGGAGCTGGGCCACAGACCCTCAATTCTCATCCGCATGCTCCCGAAGGCTTGCCGGCCCTAGTCCCATTCCAGGGATTGGACGAAAAGATGGCAAGCCCCAGGATTCCTTTAACGGAATTCCCTTTCCGCAGCAACCATGGAGGGGCAGGCCCAGCCTATCCTAACCCCTCCTCCACCAATTTATAACCAATGCCTAACCGCCAATCGAGCCCTTTACGCTCGCCGCCAACCACTCACAATCCCAACCCAACCTTCAACCTTGCAGTTACCGCATCCAACCAAACATCATTCCCCAGTACAGAGAGATGTACTCCATCATTGCGGTAAAGGGCCAGAGCCTTGAAGGTAATATCCGGGCGGGAAATAACCAATCCACCCAAATCCGCCACCTTCTTACACACTGCAGAATTAATGCGCTTCCTGGCCCTTTCAGCAGCCTCAGGTCGAGAAATGCCGTGCCAATTGCGCCTTTGCAGCAATTGTGACCAAAATATTTTAACTGTGGGTATTAAGGTCACCAATTCACCCAAGTCTCTCTGAATCGTGGAGCGCAAAGTAAAGCAATCATAAGTTGCCACATCGTTCTCCCCAGCTGAACCACAATTGCCATGGGGGGCCATCCAAGCACCCTCTGCTTAATTAGCGGGATGAATTCGCTCCACTGCATTCTGCGCCTGGACATCCACAACACCTGCACATGCTGCGGGAGGCCAAGACCCAGTCCCCTTCCAGACTGCCTAGCTCTGATGCCAGCCCAGTAAACGATGCTGTGCCCCACAATCCAGATGCGGACTGGAGCTAGAAACATGGGCAGGAAGGCCGAGATGGCGCCCCCAGTCCAGACTCGTCAGGGTGCTTGCCAGCTCAGTGCATGATGCTGTGGCCGACAATCCAAATGCGCACAGCTGCTCCTATGAAAAAAGGAATAACAGACAGGCATCAGCACAGGCATCATTGGCGATGCTTCCTGACATAACCTTTGTCAGCGTCAGACTTCCAATGACCCGTATTCACAATCCTGTCTACTAACAGGCCCCAATGCGCAGCCTTTGCAGCAGCACCTATTTGGAAGGAATGAGGCGTGTTCAGCGGTAGGCAAGCCGCAGGCTGCAATAACTGGCGCACGACGTGAGCAATTAGATGCCTGTCGAACCGGAACCCATTTCTGTGCACTAGGATTGAGCCAGCCCCCAGGGGAACGAAAAGCCAAATATTTCCGGTATCCAATAACAGGGCAAGGGCCCACCTCACCTGTGACTGGAAGCCTGATGGTGGCAACCCTGCTCACTAGGTCTGACTTAGAGCTCCAGACACTTATGACAAGCTCCAAAGCAGATAAGGAAAAGTCCTGTGGCAATAAGCCTCCAAACTCTCAGCCCCGTGCTGGCTCCAACACAATTTCCCCAACCCTCAGTACACCAAAATTACAATGGAATACTGAAATAAGTCTCGTCTTGATCTTGAACCAGCCAACAAGTCTCAACTTGTTGCAGATACTGCATAGGTCAAAGATTGACCGGCTTCCTGCCTGCTGTCCTGTGAAGGTCAGAGCCTATTCCAACCTTCCGAGACCCTGCGCATGACACACTTTTAGAAGGGTCTCTGAAAATTAAAGCTTTACTCTAGCAGACATTGCAGCGGACTGAATTCTGATAGTTTTAACACTGCATCCTATCTGCAGCAGGTGGGCGAATTACTGCAGGTCCTGCTCAGAGGATGGGGGCAGGTTCCTCTGAATGGCCGAGGACTACCAGCTAAATTTTAAGAAATCAGTCCAGGCCTTCTCATAAGACCTGAAAGCGGATGGGGAAACGTAAGCTACTATTCCTCATAATTATTAATTGTCGCCAAGTGCCACAGGAGCTCCAGAAAAATAGCTGGGTGTCCAGAGCCCAGGATCTGAAGCTCTCCAACTGAAAAAACGGGATAGAGCCACAGCAAAAACATTAGATGATCCCGAAATAAAGTGAGCAGAAACGCAATATTAAACCTTAAGCAGTGCGAAGACTCTGCCAGAGCATGAAGACCGTTTTGCCAGGACTCTCACACTGCCTGGTTATCAGACCAAGACAGACCTGACGGTCCCTAAACTCCTCAGTCCAGATGTGCGCTGACACTACAATGAGGAAAACTCAAGAAAGTTAGGTTACATGTGATTGCCTTGCCCTGCCAGGCTCAAGGCCACTGTACATGATGATGAAGGGACACCGGGCCATGAGACCACCTGGCCAAGCAGGAATGGAAGGGGCAGCCTGGAGCAACCACCCTGCATGCAAAATTTAACTGACCTAGGAATGATAGGATCTGACAAAGCAACACTTGCTTCAGAGGAAGTATTACAAGAATAACATCCTTCAAGGCAAACAGCTTTTCCACAGGCAAGCAGATGTTTGAGCAACGGTATCCAGCTAGCCCCCAAATACATTAAAAGGGGCAGTAGGAGCCACTGTCCTCCACTGCCAACAGAACACCCAGCTCCTCAGGGAATAAAGGGGCATCTAGTAAGCTAAGCAGAGGCTGGTGTCACATGAACCAGCCAGTAAAATAATCCACATAACGATACCCCCAGTTAAACGAGTCTTGACTCGCAATGTTCAATCCAGAAAGGCGCTAAAGGACTCAAGTGCTGCACAGCCTATTGAGCAACCAACTGGCATCGCCTTATCCATATAAGGACCATCCAATTAAAGCCTAACTACTTAAAATCTTGAGGGTGAACCGGCAGCAGCCTAACAGCCGATTCAATATCGCATAATGCCAACAAGGCACCTCCTCCAATTTGTTGGTAAGCTCAACTGCCTGATCCAAAGATGCATATTTCACGGAACAATTCCGGAGGGATAGCATCATTCACTGAGGTGCCTTTGGGGTGCGATAAATATGGATCAGATGGAATTATATGGGGCTTTCTTAGGGACGATCCCCAATGGGGATAAATGAAAATCGGGACTAGAAGGAGAATCAAGGGGATCCCACCATACGTCCCAATGCAAGCTGCTTCCTAACCTTCTTTCTGGCTACCACAGACTTTCTGGCTACCACAGACTCTAACTGACTTTTGAGTTGCTGTATTCTGAGCCACTGGCTGAAAAGCCAGAGGAATCCCGAAACCTTGGAGAAAAACCCTTCCCACAAGCACAAAGCTACTGACGCATCTAGATAACCTTTTAGCCAGGCTTTAAAGGGAGATATTTTTATGGAAATATGGGCGAGAGGTATTGAGTTATTGCTTGCCAGCCCCGCTTGGGCAAGAAGCCCTGCCTTGTGTTGCCACCATGATGTGTAAATTTACAGGGCCAACACTGGCCAGAGACCCTAAAGAAGTCCCAACAAAGCTGCCACCGGGCCAGCTTCCTGCATACCAGCTTCAGGTTCTATTGCTCAGGGAATTTCCATTTGAAATGTGGAGCTGCGCAAGTGGTCCACATGTCCCCGTCCCTGCGATCCTAGCGAGCTAAGGGGATGATGGCAGCCCTGCGTCTAACATTCCCATCATAGTGAATTACCACTTATAGAATAGTGGGGTTGGAAGGGACTCCTAGGATCATCTAGTCCACTCTCCCACAATATCATCATCATCATCATCATCATCATCATCATCTATTTGTACCCCGCCCATCTGGCTGGGCTTCCCCAGCCACTCTGGGCAGCTTCCAACAAAATATTAAAATACAGTAATGCATCAAACATTAAAAGCTTCCCTAAACAGGGCTGCCTTAGATGTCTTCTAAAAGTCTGGTAGTAGACATCTGGTGGGAGGGTGTACCACAGGGCAGGTGCCACTTCCGAGAAAGCCCTCCACCTGGTTCCCTGTAACTTGGCTTCTCACAGTGAGGGAACCACCAGAAAGGCCCTCGGCACTGGACCTCAGTGTCCGGGTAAAGTGATGAGGGAGCATGCAGCTGTCCCATACAGGGACCAATCCTGCAACCTAGGCATTACCGGCACCATACGCTGACCAGCTGAGCTATCCAGGATGCTCCCTAAAGACCTGGAACAGCCTCACCCTGACCCCTGGAGAGGTCCAAGGTGATGTCTGAATCATCATCAGAGCCCAGTGATGATTTACCTGCAAGGAGGTGTAAGCATCATCCCTGCTATGCTTTTTCCTGCCTCTGAAGACGCCTCCTTCCTGAAGAAGGCACCTGGGGCATCAACAAGTCATCCTCTGCAGGAGAGGCAAGCTCTGGAGGCATCTGCAAAGGCCCTGTCATAGTCTGCGAAAAGAAAAAACCTAAACAATGTGAGGAACAGGTGAAACCAATGCTTTGTGCACCACATGGGGACGCTATTCAGGCCAGAAACGCTGCCAGAGGCCATCAAATTCTAGGGCCAAGCGGGCCAAGCCCTAGGATCACCTGCTAGGCCAGACATAAATGTTTCCAATGAGATAACAAACTCGAGGCAGCCCACCGCATGTCCAGGTACCCCTGCTTGCCCTTTAGAGGAAGCACCTCCTCAAGAAACCCAAAGTTCTTTTTGGGAGCAATATCACAAATGGGCCAAACTACCCAGCAACAAAATAGTCCAAAAGGAGCAGCTTGTTTTGCCTTGTTATAACAATGGCTAAGTGAGGGATATGAACCCTGTCTCCCAGGTCCTAGTCCTGTACTCTAGCCACTAAGCCACAATGGCTTGTCTCTAAAATGGCAGTCGCCACTATCAGGGAAAAACAAACTTGAAGAAAATAAACTTGTTCAGAAACAGCATAGTTAAAGAGCATACAAAGAGTGCTCATTGGAGGCACAGAGAGCCTCTGGCTCCACTCTGTCTGCCTAAGCTATACATTAGCAACAAGTGAGCCTGCAAACAACAGATACATTCTTATAGAGAGAATGAGTCACATGTTACAGAAACTTAACAATTCACTGTACTGCTAACTGTAGCAGGCTTAGGCTTGAATGATATGTGCAGGCCGTGCAGGCCTCCCTGCTTCTGCTCTCTGCCTTTTTTGTCTCATTGCAATATTAAAGGAACTCAAAATAGTGCACCCCCAACGCGAAATTAAAACTCGGCCAACAGCACTGCAATCACCCAAAATAAAGCCAACCTATGAGGATACTATAAACGAAAGTGATTCCAGGTAAGCTGGGAATTTACTGTACCGCTAACTGTAGCAGGCTTAGGCTTGAATGATATGTGCAGGCCGTGCAGGCCGTGATGGCCTCCCTGCTTCTGCTCTCTGCCTTTTTTGTCTCATTGCAATATTAAAGGAACTCAAAACAGTGCTCCCGCCCAAGGCTAGATTAAAATTTGGCCAACAGCACTGCACGCACCCAAAATAAAGCCAACCTATGGGGATACTATAAATGAAAGTGATTCCAGGTAAGCTGGGAGCAGCCCTGGCTAGCCCCACAATTAAACAGGCGAAAATGGGGAAAAACTTTTTGCAAAAGAAAGCCCCTAATGGGGGCTCTCTCCCTATTGGGAAAGGCAAGCCCAGGAGGATTATGCACAGGCAGCGCTCACAGGTACAGGGAGAATCTTCCCAAAGGGCAGGGTAAGGGGTGGGGTGGGAAATCAAACAGAAAGAAAAAGGGAATTAAATTAATTAAGGGACTAGAGAAGATTAAAAAGAAGGGGAAATAAAGAAATGTAACCAGACAATGAGAAGATCGCTCCACTGTCCTCCAGACGGTCCAAGTGCTCCAGGTGATCCGTTGCACGCAGCAAAGAGAAAGCTCCAGGCTGCGTGCAGAGTATTTAAACATTTTACCCCTCCCACCAAAATTGCAACATAACTTTTACCCCAGCAACCCAGTGAACCAATCACTGCCCCAGGCCATCTTTAGAGACCCTGCCTGGTAACAGAGGGGTGGCTCAGCAGACCCCACCGCAACACGTGCTCTCCATGAAGGAGAACACGCTTTATCAGGATTCAACCTCAGTCCGTTAGCTGCCATCCATCAGAAATGTTGCCCAGGTGGAGGCCTTTGCTGGGATTCCAGCTATGGTGCATGTCATTAAAAATTGCACTATTCCTTTAAAAACAACAGAAACCGTCCCATCAGCAGAAAAAGGTCCAAAGTTCTAATTTCTATGTACTCTTCAGTTCAGTTCACTTTAATTGCTTTAGTTATGGACAACAGCAGCCGGAAGCAGGAAAGAAAACACAACAATTTTAATTAAAAACTTGAAAACAATAAAAACCATACTTCAAGCCAATGGACCCTGGATTTATCTTCAAATTAATGTACCTCGCTGCACTTATTTTGGGTACACAGTGTCTTGCCATGCAGCCTGCTGTTTCCATGAAAGCCTGAAGTTCTAATATGCAACCTGATACCCATTTTTAGGCTCCTTCTACACCAATGGCTGAAAGATACTCATGAGCCCATGAAGTGACAGGATCAGGATCAGAAGGAAAATGGGTGCTGACTGACTTGAGCCACTTGGTTTAGAAAGTGACGTGGAGGTTGTCCCAGAAAGAGGAAACTCTGAGAGAAAGCAATCAGAAATCATGTCTGAACTTTAGGGTGAATCTGCTTTTCCTCTTCTCCTGGGGGAAATCACTCTTCAGCATTCATTTGCAACAAACGGCAATTCAGTTTTTCTCTGGATTGGTGTCTGCTATGATTTAGCACTAAAGAGCATTTTCCCACCCCCTGAGAAAGGAGCAGGGCAAGGGAGAAACGGCTCAGATCCATGGCTAGAAAGTGCAGATCAAGTGGGGAACTGCTTGGGCACGTGCTTTCCAGGCATTGTACAAGCGGGAGTGTGGAGGAACCCTTCGCCAACTTCATCAAGAATAAAGCAATAAATATCTACTAGGTACCCAGTGCCTTCACACTCACACCCACCCACATCCAGGGCTTTGTTTCTGCTGGAAGTGACCATGACTCAGTTGTCAGGAATGAGCCAGCTGCTAGTGACATTCTACAGCCAGCTGCAGAACGGAAAGAGTTAGATCTGCAGCAGGCTGAACAGCAGCCAGTGTCCAGTGCAACTCCCATGCGTATTGGAATGTTGGTTGCCAAGGGAACAACAGGTCCATCAAATATCTCTAGTCCCCTCCCAAGTGGGGGAGACCACTTCATTTTCTTCCTGCACAACAGCCACCATCTTTTTTCCTTCTCAGCCCGAGCCGCTTTCATGTCTGATCTTGTTTTGCCAGTTTCTAATTGGGGCTCTCCGCCCCAATTGGGCTCTTCGGCTCTCCGCCGGCTCTCCGCCGAAGACTGTGCAGCCAAAAATCCAATTAGTTTTTACACCTCCTGCATTCTCTTTAGATAACTGATTCTTTCTTGGTGAGGTTCACCAAATCATGAGATAGCAAGTATAATGAGTAGAAAAGAACAGCAGCCTCTCACCTCAGTAAATCCGTACGTAAAGATAAGAGTCTCTTTCAAGTCCAAGCTTTGGCACCCAGTGACTGGGAAGTTTAGCAGATCTTTTTCATCTCCTTCCATCCAGAACACGCCTGGTTTTTAGTCCGAATTTTGGTAAATTTTAAAGAACAGGAATCTCCTGGCTTGCTAGAATGGCTCTCGAGAGTGCCCAATTCGTACAGTGCTCAGCACCCAGCGTCCCCACCCTTCCATTATGCAGCGAGCAGCAGATAATGGATGATCTCTGGGTGATGGCCAGCCCCCCCCCAGCCGGGGGGGGGGGGTCAGCAGGGATAACTACTCCCTATCATTCCTGATAACCTGCATGACAAGGGTCCGATGTAATTGGAAAACAGCCATTTCCATCAGCCAGGAAACCAGAAGTCTTTAGAAGGGTCATATTGAGTAATGATGCCGGAGGCTTTGTTTAAGCCATCTGGAGCTGGGAACCTGGACTCCTGACATCAGTTATAGTACCTTTCAGGTGGGCACCATTGCTGTTATAAGAGAGCAAGGGAGGCATTCATGGTGAATTCTGGCGCCTCTTTTCTAGAAAAATAGCACTGCACACATCACAACTCTTTGTGTAACTAGGTCATTGCTATCAAGTGACATTTTCCCCACCCCAATTTATCCTGGGGGGTCCACGGACTTTCCCCCACCCTACCACCAAGCCCTATGCAAGCCATAAAATCTGTGACATGGGAGAAACCAACCCCCACTAACAAACCTGGCATTAATGGTGTCCATGCTACAGAGGGACATTTTACGCACACCATGAATAGACATGAAAAATTATGGGATTGTAATCCTTCCCACAAATCAATATAATTGGAGCTCACTGGGGAAATAAATGCTTTGAGCCCCATAGATGCACAGTTGGATTTACCTGGCACTCAGTTTCACTTCCCCCCACTGGAATTAGTTTGGAAAGGAAGATTCTTTGTAGCCAATAGAATACTTTGCAGTCTTCTTCAATGCAGTGGGTGTTTGGTGCCCATGGCAGTTCCTTCAGCTTGCAAATCTGCCCACAGGCTGGGGAAAAAATGTGATTCCTGACGTATGAGTTAGGCCTATGAGGAACATGTGCTAATTGTTCAGGATAAAAACTGTATATTTTTGAAAAATGTTAGAAACAGTAAAATCCTTATTTACGAACCAGTAAATCCTGAATATAATCTTAGACCAATGCAATGTTAATGTACCGTTTTTAGTTCCTCTTACTGGCACACCATGACTTTTAAAGAAATGATGCAGCAATACATTAACAACAACAACAACAACAACAATGACAACAACAATAACAACGACAATAATTTATTTATTTATTTATACCCCCGCCCATCTGGCCGGGCCTCCCCAGTCACTCTGGGCGGCTTCCAACATAATATTAAAAATACAATAAAACATCAAACATTAAAAACTTCCCAAACAGGGCTGCCTTCAGATGCCTTCTAAAAGTCAGATTGTTGTTTAGTTCCTTACGATCTGATGGGAAGGTGTTCCACAGGGTGGGCGCCACTACCAAGAATGCCCTCTGCCTGGTTCCCTGTAACTTTGCTTCTTGCAGTGAGGGAAATGCCAGAAGGCCCTCAGCGCTGGATCCCAATGTCTGGGCTGAACGATGGGGATGGAGACGCTCCTTCAGGTATCCTGGGTCGAGTCTGTTTAGGGCTTTAAAGGTCAGCACCAACACTTTGTGGTGCTCAGAAACATACTGGGAGCCAATGTGTAAAAGTAGCATAAATTCCTATAAATAGATGAACATTCAGCTTTCCAAATGATGGTGACTAAAGGCTATCTGCTCTCCCCCCCCCAAAAAAAAATTGTTCACTGAATTATCAGCATCTGGAGACAGCTCTCAGTCGAGGAATCTCTTAGGTCATCAATTCCATTCCTTCTCCTGCAAGGTGGCTCAGTTGGATAATCCCCATTACAATGATTTCAATGACCCATGGTGCTCACCATTATCCCCATTTGTCATGTGCCAAGAAGCAGACAACACATCAAAGCTCCACCTAATACCCTATCCAGCAGGAAAGCTACTCACATCCTACTGGTCACAAGCTGGCTAATAAAAAAGCTTTTGAATGTGTTCCAAGCTCAACTCCCATCCATGGTAGCGGCATCTCATTTTAAGTGAAATTTATGAAATACAACATACAGATTTTATTACCCAAGTCCTGCTCCTTTAATAAGGAAAGGTACTGATTTACTGTTCTATAGTTGAGATATAGTTCTCTGGCCAGCCTGGCTAGGATATGGTATGGTGGGACCTCATCATCACCATGCCAAGAGCCTCCTGAAGTCTGGCATCCATTCTTTATTACCATCCTTTTGGCCCTACCAACTAAGGAGTTCCAGAGGTGGTGAAGCTGATGGTAAGGAAACCAGCGGCAAGGGTATCCTAGTCTGGTGAGTGTATAGTCCCACTAGGCTCGGCTGTAGCAGAGAAACAGAGATAGGCATCATCAACCTGTCTATTTCAACAGATTGAGATTTTTCTTCATGTGCTTGACTCCAAAGGGACAGAGCCTCCAAGAAGCTCTGCTTATAAGGATGCCAACTAGAGAAGTGACCCAACTCTCTATGCTTCCTGGAAGATATTGGAGCAGGATTTAATCTGGAAAAACACACAAGGCTAGTTGCAAACTGGTCCAGACAGCCCCTGCTTTCTTCCTGCAGCTCTTGTGTAACTTTCTTGAAAGGAGAAATCAAGGTGCTGAGACAGCTCTAATGGAAATGTGTCTTTAAGCTGGCTCTGGGGAATGTGTCTGGCAAGTAAATTGTTCCCCATTTAGTTGCATTAACAGCTGCTCCTGTGTGCAAAGACGTTACACACAATTCTGCTTCCGGTGATGAAGTTGGGTGGTTTTCACAACATATACAGTAAAGTAGGCAGCTGCCTGCAGTTGAAATAATATTGTAGCAATGTTAGCAATAAATACATTTTTTCAGATTTCTATGCACTATAGGTCTACACTTGGATAGAGGTATTGTCAGCAGATATGAGCCTCAAAAAGTCCTCAGAAGTTCACTGAGGGACCTTGGGCCAGTCCCTGCATCTCAGGATGACTGAAAGAGTTAAAAAGGGACACGACAAGGTTGCCCAATTTCCCCACTCCTTTTTATTTCGGTTCTGGAGGTTTTGTTGAATATGATTAGAAGGGACCAGTTGGTTAAAGGTATACAGGTCGGAACTAAACAGTACAAATTGAGAGCATTTGCAGATGACTTAGTATTGACGTTACAGGAGCCAGAATCTAGTACTAAAAGGGTTTTAGAACTGATTCAAGAATTTGGTCAAGTGGCAGGATTTAAATTGAACAAGTCAAAAACCAAGGTTTTAGAGAAAAATTTAACATCGATTGAAAGAGAGAGGTTTCAGAATGGGACAGGTTTAACAGTGGTTAAGAAAGTTAAATACCTGGGGATTAACATGACAGCAAAAAATGGGAATTTATTTCAAGATAACTATGAAAAATGTTGGTCTGAAGTGAAAAAAGATTTAGAAATTTGGTCAAATTTGAAGCTTTCACTGCTGGGCCGTATTGCTGCGATAAAAATGAATGTATTGCCTAGAATGTTGTTTTTGTTTCAAACTTTGCAAATCGTGGACAAAATGGACTGTTTCAAGAGGTGGCAGAAAGATATTTCTAAATTTGCCTG